ACTGCATTAATCCATACAAGGATTCTTACAAAAAGCTCAAAAAATTAGTGTAAACTTTATTTTAAAAAGGTCAAATATTTGACTTTCTAAAGATCAAAAGTGGATTCTATGTGTTGAAAAGAGAGAAGAGGGTATGTATAACTTACTTGGGAGGGGAGGAAGGTGGTGTTTGTTTTAAAAAAAAAACATCTTCTAAACTCTTAGTGTTACGCAGCGCAGCACACACGCAACACTTTTAAGTTCACAACAGTTTGTTTTTTAAAAGACTTCGGGATCAAAAACCTCTTTCCGTTCTCTGCCCCACACAGCATTGGGCTTGGCTCTTCTCACCGCTTCTAACCTAATCTAAAAAAAAAGCGGACAAAATTGTAGCCGCATTCCTTCTCACCGAATTCGTTCTCCATCGGCCATCAACCCTTCTCGTCGTTGATCTTGTTGAAGAACGGAAGAACTCCGCTAGCCAATCGTCGGTCGCCACTCGTCGGTGCCGCTCGCTGTTGCTGCCGCCCAGTCAACCGGCGCTGCCATCGTCTTCAACAGGTTAGTTTTTTTTTCTGATTTCTTATTTGAGTACCGATTATGCTGTTAGTACCAAATTTCTTATTTGAGTACCGATTTTGTTGTTGAGATGTGAAGAATCCTTGCTAAAATCTTTGTTGAATGTTGATTTATGATATAATTGTTCTTAAAACAAATTTTCTGCTCAAATTTATGTTTTGGTTTATGAATTTTTGTGTTGAATTGTTATGAATGTTTGGTAAAATCATAAATCTTTGCTGAAATCATATACTTATATGCTGAAATCATAAACTTATATGTAAGTTTATATGCTGAATTCATAAATCTTATATGTTGAAATCATAAATCTTTGCTGGATATGTTAAAGTCTTTGCTGAAATGGGTTTTTTTTAACTTATTTGCTGAATTGTTATCACTTGTATTTCTTGAATGGAGATCAAGTTTATGCTTAAATCGTTGAATATGCTAAACTTGTTTGTTGATTGTGTTGTATAATCTTTGCTTATATTGTTTTTTTTTGTTCATTCATGATGCATTGTTGTTGAATATGCTAAACTTATTTGTTGATTATGTTGAAATATGATTAAACTTTGTTGCTAAAGTATGTCTTCTATATATATATTTTTTTTGTTATTAGCAATGAGAGATAAACATACATGGACCAATGAGAAAATAAAATGTTTATTGCTCATTTGTATTGAAGATGTACAAACCGTGGGTAGAAAAGGTTTGAGTTTGCACAAACAATCATGACACAAGTTAGGAACAACCATTAAGGAAAAGTATGGCGTGGATTTGAATCAACGACAATTAAAAAACGTCTATGATAACCTTAAAGCCAAATACACAGGATGGTTATACTTAAAAAAACAAAACTGGCAACCTTTACAATCCACAGACAAATACTTTTAACTTAACAAATGAGGAGTGGGAGGACTTTAAAAAGGTATATATATATATATATATATATATATATATATATATATATATA